GTAGATCACCGCACACAGCAAGGGGTTAGAGCGGCCCAGTTCGAAATGCAGCAACTCAAAAGTCTGAAAGTACCTCCTTAGTCATCCAGGGTTTTTGGTTGGCCCGGGTGATAATGTTCTTAGTGATGCTGACGTCATCTGTGCACTTGTTGATGTAGGCTGACACAGTCATGGCGTACTCATCGATATTGATCTGGTCGTTGTAGGTGGCTGCTGCCTTGAACATCTCCCAGTCAGAGCACTCAAAACAGTCCTGAAGTGCCTCCATGGCCCCCTCAGTCCACATTCTCACCTGCTTCACTGTWGGTTTTGTTCTGATYAGCAGGGGCTTGTATGCAGGGATTAGCATAACAGATAGGTGGTCTGAAGAGCCAAGGTGGGGGCGGGGGGCTGCTCTGAATGCTTCTTTGATGTTGGTGTAGGCCAAGTCTAGAGTATTTTCTCCCCTAGTTGGAAAATCCACATACTGGTTRAAGTGAGGGAGAACAGTCTTCATATTGGCCTGGTTAAAATCCCCAGCAATGATGAAAACTCCCTCTGTGTGTGAGGATTGCAAATAGCTGATGGTCCGGTAGAGAATACTCATAGCCTCTTTAGTGTTAGCACTGGGGGGCACATATACGGCAGTGATGCTAACAACAGTAAACTCCCTGGGCAGGTATAATGGTCTGCAGTTAACAGTCAGAAGCTCGATGTCCGGGGAGCAATAACTGGCGACAGTCATGGCATTCTTACACCACTTGTTATTGATGTAGATACACAGCCCCCCTCCTCGGGTTTTACCGCTAAGAGCGCTGCTCCTGTCTGCACGGAATGTAGCGAGCCCCTCCAGGCTAACAACGTTGTCCGGAATGAAMGAGTTGAGCCATGTCTCCGTCAGAATGAGAGCGCARCAGTTCCTCAGCTCTCTCTTTGAATATAATTCTAGTTGCAGATGGTCTAYTTTGTTGTCCAGAGAGCGAACGTTGGAGAGGAAGATGGACGGAAGCGGCGGTCTGTGGGGGTTAGCGTTTAGCTTAGCTGTTAGTCCACTTCGACAGCCGCGCTTCCGCTGCCGGTCACACCGCCTTCGCTTTCTCCTCTTCCGGCTAGTGCTGCTGCGGGTCGCTGGGTCTTGCTTCCGTAGCACTCCGAGATCACGTAAACACTCCTGAGTATTCGTATTTATGATTTTGAAATCACTTGATGATCGTAATTTCAGCAGACGCTGGCGATCATATGCTAACTTACTGAGTGGGTGCAAAATTTGTAGCATTTTAGACGGCGTATTTTGCTCAAATACTCGCAAGTTGTCGAGAGCCCATGCAGCCGCAGCCATTAGGGCGCCGCCTCACAAGGTTATTAACTGTTATTACTGACAGGTTATTAACTGGTTATTACAGACAGATTATTATTAATCCTTATGTAATCCTGTTTACCTGAAGTTTAATCAGAATGTTCTCACTGGACCAGTTTGTATTTATTTGCCTGCAGTTGTTGAGTTTGAGCAGCAGGTGGAGCTGTTTCACCGTTTCACCATGTTTCACCATGTTTCACCACATCTAATGCTAACATGATCAGTGATCCATATTTTCCACCTGTTAATAGTTTTTATTGTTTAAACTCAACAGACCTGTTATTTGTAAATATTAACATTAACTCTTGAATCTAAAGTTCAGGTTTAATTCACTGATCTGACAGGAAGCAGCTTCAACTAAAACTTTAGCTCTTCTCTTACAGAAAGATAAAGACTGAATTTAAATGTGACAGTCAGCTGCAGCGCCACCTGCTGGTCATCAGAAGAAGACTTCTGCTGCTCAGGACCTGGACCCGTCTGGTCTCCAGGATGTGGGTTTGTGGTCTTACCCAGGTTTGTGTCAGCTCGAACCACCATCTGAACCTTCCCATCAGCCGTGTGCTTCAGGTGCAGCGTTCCCACACCTTTCTCTTTAAACTCCGCCTCCTTCTTGTAGAACAGTTTACACCTGGAGAGAAGGGAGGAGCTCAGTTTAGGAACAGATCAGGTGGTTTTTATAAAAACAGCTTCAGACGTACTTCTTGGAGTAAAAAGCGTCGTCCTCCTTCACTTCTTTCACCTCCGGTTTGGGCGGCTCCTCCGACTCCTCGTCTCCGTTTTCATCTGAAACATTAAATTAAATTAAATTAGGTCACTTCATCTGAAAGCCTCAGATTAAATGATTCTGGATTATTAATCTGTGGAACACACTGACCTGCAGGGTGGACCACCTCAGGTTTAGACCCACTCAGGGACAGTGGGGGGGTGGGTGCTGGACCCCCGAACAGAGTGCTGCTGAAGGAGGCAGGTTTGGACCCCAGTGAGCCCAGGACGGAGCGGTCCACCCTCTCCCCAAAGTTAAAGGTGACGGCGGTGGGCGGGGCCAGGCCCGAGCTCCTCTGAGCCGAGTCCTCCGTCGGCTTTTTACTGAAGGAGAACAAAGCAGCCGAAGGAGCCGAGGAGCTACTGGAGGAGGAGGAAGGAGCAGCTGCAGCGGCTGCAGGGGTCTTCTTCTCCTCAGAGACCCCCTCAGCGGAGCCRGCTCCGTGCTGCCGCTCGATGCTGGCCAGGTGTCGCTCATAATCCCTGAAGATGGGGTTGAGATCACACAGAGGGTTGTCGTTGACGTGTTTACTGATCCAGTCCCTCACAGAGCAGTTCAGAGCTGTCAGCTGACGCCGGTACTCCCTGTGGCTCGCAGGGGGGCTGGGGGCGGAGCCATTGGTCTGCTGGGGGCCCACGTCAGAGCAGGGGGGGCTGCAGGAGGAGGAGGAGGAGGAGGAGGAGGGCCCGTTGAACGTCACACCTGACAGGAAGAACACAGATGAGTGAGGATGAGGAGGAGAAGCCCCTCCCCCTCCTGCTGCAGCAACACAAGATCTGCCGAGTCCTGACTCACAGCTAAAACCTGCAGCTAAACAGCTAAAACCTGCTTCTAAACAGCTAAAACCTGCAGCTAAACAGCTAAAACCTGCAGCTAAACAGCTAAAACCTGCAGCTTAACAGCTAAAACCTGCAGCTTAACAGCTAAAACCTGCTTCTAAACAGCTAAAACTTGCAGCTTAACAGCTAAAAGCTTCAGCAGAGTGGCTCAGTATAAACGATGCGTTCACTGACATTAAGGAAGTATCAGAACTCACCAGCTGCAGCCGTAGACGCTGCAGGAGATGAGAAACCTCCGAACGACGAGCTGCTGGTCCCGTTGGTCAGACCACCAAAACCTTTGAAGCCTCCGGGGCTCCCGAATCCAGAGAAGGTGGGGGGACTCGCTGCCGCCGTGGTCAGTGAAAACCCTTTGAATCCCCTGAAAGCCCCGCCCCCATCACCCTGAAACACAGAGCAGGAAGCAGACCAGTTTGACAGTAGRTCTGAGAACTGGTCCAGGTACAGATGTTCCTGTGTTTACCTCTCCTCCAGTGTTTCTACGTTTGGCTTTCTTTATGGCTCGACCCTTCAGCACATCGTCACTGGCCACAGAAAACGTCCCGGCCTGAAGGAAGACCAAAGGTCAAAGGTCACGTCACCTTCACAGACCCTAACCTTCACCCAGAGCTCACCTCCTCTCCCTCRTCCTCCTGGTCCCAGTTCCTGTCCGTCAGCTCTTTGTCAGCAATCCTCTTTGCCATCCCACCTGGACCAATCAGGAGAGTTAACCAAGACAAACAGCCAATCAGCAGCTGGACAGTCTCAGGTAACTGTCTGCATCACGACCTTAAAGTCTGAGTTAAAGTTATTTTGTTTTTTAGCTCATGTTTTACTTGTTTAACTCAGTTTCTTCAGCTCTCAGCCTGAAGCTTTGTTTTAGTTTAAACACACTGAGATGTCAGCTGGATATTAGTGTGAAATATTATTTAAACTCAAGTGTTCAATTAACTGCCGGATAAACACAATAATAAGTGTAAACTAGTCGTAAAAATATATTAGTGTTAACTTTTTTTTATAAAACATGTTGAGAAGAGATCAACACTCCTCACTGTTTTATAAATAAACTGAMAACTTTAACAGGTGGATTAAAACTGATATTTGCTTTAAAAAGTAAGAACTACATAAATAAATCAGCAGATTTGTTRGTTTTTCTAGAAAAGCATATTTTAGGAGCTAAGCTAGCTGCTACATGCTAACCGTCAGACACCGGCTACATTTATTAACTTATATCCTGAATAAAACCAGATGACAGCTGAAACATACAGTAAGTTCACAGTTTGTAGATTAGATTAATAAACTTTTAACAACAGTTATGATCTCCAKCGGTTAACGCGTCCGTCCTGACCGGTGAGCTAAACACCGGTCAGCGCTCCTTTCACCGGGCCGCATGTTAGCAGCTAGCCGTCCGGTCCAGGAGCGAACGGTCCGGTCCGGTAAAAGAGAACCTGACAAACCTTTATTTGAAGCTAAAAGCTCCGTGGTCTGCCTCTGAAGGTCCGTCCAACAGATCCGGATSAAAACGAACCGTCCGAAACCGCGAGTCTGAACAGCTTCAACAGAACCAGCGCTCAGTTAGCAAACCGCCATTTGACACGGCTTCTTCGTTTCCGCCTGACCCTCAGAGCCCCGCCTCCCGGCGCATGCGCAGACTCACAGCACCGGCACCATGGGATTTGTAGTCCCTGAAAACACATTCCTCTTTTTAAGCTTTTTAAGATCGTCTGTTTACCACAGTTAGACTGCAGAGCTCATTATTAACATTATTTGTGCATTTCTTCTTTATAATATAATATAATATAATATAATATNATATAATATAATAAATTAGCTGGTCCAGAGCCAGCTGTAGAACCTGGATCAGGACTTTCAGATAAAAGCTTAAATTGTGTCCAGCTTTATTTAAAGATGGAGTGGTGGTGTGGAACGGCCTACAGGAAGAGGAAGTCATGTCGGGGGTTCTCTCCATCCTTCAGCTGGTCGGTGAGCTTCAGAGGACGGCTGTGAGACACCGGGGACAGGGGAGGGGGTAACATGGTGCAGAGCCGGGCAGCAGATGGCTYGTCTCCAAGCTTTCAGGAGGCCGAACAGAACCAGAGAGAGCCCAGGGCCCGGCGGCAGCAGGAGAGCCCCTGACCAGCTGGCAGGAGCCGTGGAGACAGCTGGCAGCAGATAAAAGAAAAACTGTTCGGATGTGGAGCTGACAGCAGCTCATCAGAACCAGAACCAGGTTTACATCTGGTCCAGAACCAACAGAACCAGATCCAGACCCAGAAACACCAAAGGGTTCTAAACACCCTGCTGACGGGTTCTGAAGAGTTCGGCTGTTTTTCTGCCTCTGATGAATTCAAAATATTAGAAAGTTTCTATATTTAATGAAACATTTCTAATCTAATCTAATCTAATCTAATCTAATCTAATCTAATCTGAGCTAACACACGTCTCAATTAGGCCTCCAACAGCTTTAACAGGCTGAATCTATTAGCGGGTCATGTGGACATTAATTACTGTAACTGAAGCAAATCTTTTCATTAAAACATAAAGATCGATTTAAATCAGCTGAACTTTAGCTTCATGGAGGGAAATCTGTGATAAAAATATAAACAAATGCTTTTTATTAAATCTGACACAAAATAAATTAAATCAGTTCAGTTCTTAATAAATAAATAAATAAATAAAAACTGTAAAATTTATCTGTTGTCTTTCATGAAGAACCTGCTGAACAAAAACAATGAGCCAAAGAAAAGAGAAAACATCAACACAGTAGCTAAAGGCTAATATCAACCGAATGGTCACTAGAGGTTAATATCAGCTAAATAGAAGCAAAATGCTAAAGTAACACTTGCTAAAGGCTAAAATAATCTGACATCTAATTCACTCATATTATCGAGCTATAAATGTGACAGAGCAGCCAAACAAAGCCCTGAACTGATCGAACATCAGCTAAAATGTTTGTGTCAGGGGGTGTTGTCTGAAAAACAAACAGTCGGTCTAAAAGTTACAGACTGAGCTGAAGCCTGTCCTTCATACAGATCAGAAAACATGACTCAGCATTAATTCTGACATCATTAAACATGGAGTCAGATTTATTCTGTTTGTTGGTCGGGAGGTTCTTCACAAACACAAGCTTCTGTCAGCTCCTGCAGCAGAACCCAAACAGAGCTGTTTGTTTGTTTGTTTGTTTGTTTGTTTGTTTGTTTGTTTGTTTGTTTGTTTGTTTGTTTGTTTGTTTGTTTGTTTGTTTGTTTGTTTGTGCCTAAAGGAAGAGAAGAATGTGTGAAGGAAGAGGCCAGCTGCTGAGCCTCTAACCAGCTGCTCCAGGATCACTCCATACATTTAACAAATCTTTTTAAACATCTGTTTCAACACATGAGCAGATGTTCCTACAAGGTCACGTTATAGATACAGGTTTGCTAATTGTAGTTAGAGATTTCAAAATAARAGCCTGTCTCTGTCAAAGCATTCCAACTTCTTGGTTTTTCAGGGTTTCTCGATAAAAGTTTTAAATTAGTTTTTCTGTTGACAAAAATAAAACTACTTCCTGTTTAGTCTCCACACAAAGCTGAAGTCCAGGTGTACAGAGTCAGAAGAGCTGAAGGAATAAAGTCAGTTTGTAAAGTTCTGAGAGCGGCCCGGCTCGGCCCACAGAGCTTCCTGCTGCCGGCTGTTTGATTTCTGAATCTGCCACGTTAAACAGTTCCTGTCAGGCAGACTGCAGGATGAGCCAGGCTTCACTGGCTTCTGCCAGCACCGACAGATGGTCCGTCCAGGCCCGGCCCGGCCCAAGGTGGGCCGCAGATAAAACCACCGTCCAGCTGATCCRAGGTCTGCCTGAGTCCTGAAGATCTGCTTTCATCCAGTCCATCAGAGGGAGACTTTTACACCTGAGATACTCTGTAAATATACCTGAAATACTTCGTAAAATATACCTGATACTCTGTAAAATATACCTGAGATACTCTGTAAATATACCTGATACTCTGTAAAATACCTGATACTCTGTAAATATACCTGATACTCTGTAAATATACCTGATACTCTGTAAAATATACCTGAGATACTCTGTAAATATACCTGATACTCTGTAAAATATACCTGATACTCTGTAAATATACCTGATACTCTGTAAATATACCTGATACTCTGTAAAATATACCTGAGATACTCTGTAAATACACCTGAGATACT